ATGCTGTTGGCACATCCATCTGTGAAGATCATCATGGGTAAGTGGCAGTACCCAGCTGCATTTTGGGGACACTTGAGGGGGAGAGTGCAGGCAGGTTGGGGGCAGCTGCCCACAGCTGTGTGTGCACCCACACAACCCACAGTGACAAGTTAGGGTGTGCTGTTTCAGGCAGCATTTCCACCTATTACCCCCTAAAAGTCTTTGGTTATGTCCTTAAGTTAGCCGAGAGAGAGCTAGATGTTGTTACCCTTGTTCTGAGAGAGACTGCTGTATCAGAACACTTCCTCATAAAAGAATTAATTTTGGGAGTAGTATTAATTCTTGTGTTGTTGCATTCCTGAGGGTGGGGCAACAGGGAATGCTGATGTCCCTCAGAAAGCTTTGCCCCTGCAAGGCCTGGCAAAGGCGAGTAGAATCTGGACATGAACTGCTGGAGCTCGCTGCCCCTCTGGTTTTCTGGTTCAGTTCCACAGTTAAGGAGTTCCCTGCCACAGAAGTGGCTGTTTGGGCCAGTTCCAGCTTTTGTCACTCTGGCTGGCTTGAGTTTCAAAAAAAAACCCCAAACAAAAACCAACCAACCAACACAAGTGTCTACCCTAGCTCACCCTCTGTTCCCTTAGTTTGCTGGTGCCACAGGGTGGCTCCTTGTAGCACTTGTATTTCCAACACTTTTAGCTCTTCAGCTGAAATTGCTAAAGTTGTTCTATCTGATATTAGCCTGCTGCTTCCTGGTACTTACCAAAATCCACGTGCTTTCAGTATTTCAATGTGCTGTAGGTTGATGAATGATCTCTTCTGAAGAAGGGATATTGTTTTCCTTCAGCATGTGGCATATCATTAGCATCTGTGCCCTTTTGGCCACTGCACACTGTCAGTCTTGTGGGCTTCCATTGCTGTGTAAATTTTGAGAAACTTTGAGTAAAACTTTCACTTGTGAAAGAAAAAGAAACCATTTGTCTTTTTCACTTCATTTGGCTGAAACAATGTTCAGAGATTAATAAAACATGAGTGTGTGTCAGAGTCGTGTGATTTTGAAGCCACTTCCCAGCAATCATGGGACAAAACATGATGCCTTAGGTTGTCTGAGGCCATGAAATGGCATCCTGAATACTGAGCCTGGAGTGCTCAGAGGGCAGCTACTCCAAGCACAAGCTTGGGCTCCCAGTGCAGTTTTACATCTCTCCTTGCACAAACAGAAGTAAAAGCAAGGCTGTGAGAGAAGTTGTTGTTGAGGTTTGGGTACATCTGTACAGAATTTCCTTGGGAGCTTCAAGTTCCTTCACCAAAGCAAAAAAGCCTTTTAGAAGAAGCCAGCTGGAGGGCATGGCACCAGCACAAGCACTTTCTGTTGGAACTGATGTGTGGTTTGGACCATCACAGTGCTGAGCAGGTGAGGAACCAGATGTGCTTAACAGAGCTGCTCTCCAGCAAGGTGGGCTGCTCTGAGCTCCCTGTGCGCAGCTCTCAGAAGCTCTCAAAGAAGCTCAATATCTGGACTGGGTTGTCAGGAATGAGGCACAGACTGCTGGTGCCTCGTGGCCCGAAGGCTTCTCTGTGCATGGTTTGTTTGGGGACTCACGACTTCTGAGGTGTCATCTGCCGCCTGCAGAAGTGACAATGTCTAGATCTTAAGATCACATTTCACTGTACCTGGCTGTTAAAACAGATGCTAGTTCTTCAAAGTCTGCTGAATAAGTAACCCGCCTTTGTATTTTCATGTGATGCTAAATCATTTGCATTTTGTAATACTGATGTTTTAAAACAGATTTAAATGCTGCACAGTAATCTCGGTGCTGTACTTCTTACGGAGTACATTAACTTATCTCTACGCAATTACGCTTGTCATACACAGTGACTGGCTCAGCTTTGTACAAACTATCCCCACCTTGAGAGTTTACCTGGTTAGGTAAAGTGTAGCAATTTGTTGGGAGTTTGTTGGTACATATACCCTTGCTCTGCAACTGTTGTTGAAATTCTCAGCCATTAATGCAAATTCTTTCTAATCTGCGAGCCAAATGGCTGCCTACATCAGATGGATTACTTCGCCCCAGCACACAAAGGGTTGGGTGGCTGGCTACAAATGAATTTTCATCCCTGTCATCTCTTGGATATTTTAATAAGCTATTACCAATAAGGTTAATCATGAAGACTGCCATGTTGATGCTTCCTCACTCTCCTACGGAGCTGCCTTGATGGTAACTTACGGAGTTACGTCTTTCTCTTTGGGGACTGGCGGAACCACAAGTTAAAGTTTCAAAAACTTTTCCTCCATAGCCACTATGCAATGATGTATTTTGTCCATGTCTGGTACTACCATTGAGTGTGCACGTGTGTGAACTTGTGCTGCACCTGGATGGTGTCCCACCTTGGAGTGGTGAAACTCCTGCAGCACTTTTCCTTACTCTCCATTTCCTGTTGTTGCTGAGGAGTTGGAGAGCAGCCGTAATCCTGTCCTGTGAATGTGCTGTTTGCAGATGCTGTTTCTTCTAATGTTTGAAAGTATTGGGAGACTCCCTGCACATTTTTAAGACCCACGTAGTAAGCTAGCTGATTTCACAGGCCACGGCCTGAGGGTGATCTATGGGACCCGAGGAGCTGGTTCTGTGCCATCTGCAAGAGGCATGCACTAGAGGCTGGGGAATTTTTTTTCCCTTGGGACAAACATTTATCTAAGTACCTACCCATGTCCCCCCTCACTGCTGCTGCCATGCTAATATACTTCCTTTTTTTAAAGAAATGCTGCATTTCTTTGGTTGTCTCACCCTGTCACCACAATATTCTTTGAACACTTTTCATGCTTGGCAGCTTTGCGATCTGATTTCTGCTCAACAAGAAACTGAAACAAGTTCTAGAGGGAGCAGTGAGGCTGCTGGCAGTTGGTCTCAGAATGAGTTTCTCTTGCCCCTAAATCTTGGAGAACTTAAATCTTTGAAAGCAAGGGGAGTTCCAGGTGAGTTTACACTACACCAGGGTGCCTGGCTACCAGAATAGGGGCGCAGTTAAGTGATAAACGTAGAAAAACAGACTTAGGGGTAAGTGTTTCTAGGCTGTTTTCTGTCTGATCTGTCAACATACTGCAAGAGAAAACTGAAACTGATTACATTTAGTAACTTGGGAGGATACCTCTGTGTAGGTTTGTTGGGTTTTTTTCTTTTTTTTTTGCAAATTAAAAATAGAACAATCATCAACTGGGCAAATTTGGTGAAGGTATACTTGGGGCATGTGGTGCTTCAAAGTGGTTTTTTAAATATTATTTCCACTTGCTATTTTTAACTTCACGGAAGACCTCGGTGAAGAACAGGGAATGTATTCTACTGCACCATCACGTGCTATCAGCTTTTCAACACATTTTTCAGTCGAAAGCATGGGACAGCAACACCTCCCTGGCTGCTGGCCCCTTTCTGAGTGATTGTGCGGGCCCAAATGCATGGGAGCAGGCAATGCCTCTCCGACCGCAAACCATCCCTTCTCCCTAAAGGTGCTTTCCCCCTAAACCCAAGAGAGATTGAGTAGGCCAGACACAAATGACACTATGTGGAAGAGTGTCATACTTCCTCTGGAGAAGCCTGAAATATTTTTGCAGCTGTAGTGGCCCCCATGGCTGCGGAATTGACACAGACACCTGGACTGAGGGAACCAATGACCCAAGTGCCAGAAAAGCTTTTGACATCCACGTTGTCCGTGTCCGGCTCCCAGCTTACTAACTGTGTGTTAAAAGAGTGTAGAGGAAAAGCTGTGTGAGATCCTATGAAGACGGCTTCTCTCTTTCCCACGGAAGAGGTATGAATGTGGGTGCAGCAAACAGCCCCCTAACAGGAGTGGCAGGAGCTGGAGGGGGTGGGTGTCTCCCTTCTCGGGAGCATTGCTACAAACAATGATGGTAAAAAGTTATCTCGTCAAATGACTCGCTGAAAATTCCTGTAATGCCTAGTATCTTTACACTGGGTTTACGCTTTAATCTCTTTATACTTTTAAGACGCTTATTTAGTTTCCAGAGCGGTGCGGGGAGGACCGCTAAGCGCGCTACTGGTAATCACTTTTAGGTGGGATTTGTCTCATTTGCTTATGGAATGAGTTTGTTTCGGTTTGTATCACGAATGCATCGCTTACGAACGCGGCAGCGCCGGTGCCGATGCGGTACCGGGGGAGCGCGGCCCCGCCGGGACGGGAGCGCTGCCGCGGGCGGGCAGCGCTTAATGGCCGCTTGCCTTTGAAAACCCGACCCGGTCGGGACAAAGTCCACCCTAAACCGCGGTCTCGGGCAATCCTACCGCGCCCGGCCCCGCCCCGCCCCGGTGGCCGGGATGAGTGCGCGGGCGGGCGGGGGCGCGGTGCCCGCTGCCCGGCCGGGGGCAGGGGCCGGGGCGGGCCGCAGGGGGCCGGGCAGCCTCCCGGAGCGCCTCTCGGTTTCGTTTCGCCGCCGCGGTTGGGAAGTTTGAAGCGCGGCAGTGACACAGTGACACCTCACACACAACATACACCCCTGGCTTCACTGGGAGTTTCCCAGGACGGGACGCGCCAGGGCGGGCGGGCGCGGAGCTGACCCCGCGGAGCGGAGCGGCTCCCCTCGCCCCGGTGAGCGGCGGGCGGAGCGGAGCGGGGCGGGGGGAGCGCACGGAAGACGCCGTGCCCCGCCGTGCCCCGCGGCAGCGCTGCCTCGGCGGGCGGGCGGGCGGGAGACCTGGCGGGGCGCTGCCGGGCCAGGCGGAGGCAGGTTAGTGACCCCCGCCCCTCCTCCGCCCGGGGCGGCGGGGGGGGTTTCCTATTTTTTTTTCTCTTTTTTTTTTTTCCTCTCTTTTCCTCTTTCCCCCCCCTGCTCTCCTCGTTGCATAAATTATGCCGGGCGGGGCTGTGACGTCGCGGGGGCGGGGCGCGCGGCGGCGCTCGCCCCCGGGGAGGGGGCGGTGTCGGGGGCGCGCCTTGTGGCGGCGGAGGGAGGGAAGGAGGGAGGGAGGCGGCGGGGGCGGGCGGGCGCAGGGGGCGGCAGCCGCCTGGCTGGCTGGTGTCGCGCTCGGCTCGGCTCCGGCGGGCGCGCTCGCTCGCTCGGGAACTATCGGATTAAACTTGAATCGAGTGAAATTACACAAAGGAGCGAAGCGGAGCCGGCGGAGACCCCGAAACTACCCGAGACCCGCGCTGACCCTTCCTCTCCCTCCCCTCCCTCCCACCCCTCCTTCGCCCGCCCGCCCCGGTCAGGGATCCCCCTCCTCCCCTCTTAGCCCAGCCCCGGTGCGAGCGAGCAACTCCGTGCGTGTGTGTTGTGTGCGTGTGTGTGTGTGTGTGCGCGAGACCCGCACCCCACCTCGCCCCCCCCCGGCCGGCGGCACCAACTCCGGAGCGTGTCCCCTCCTCCTCCCCGGCCCTTCGGCGGAGGGCAGCGAGGGAGCGAGCGGGGGACACCGGTCCCCGACGGCCACGCACCGGTCCGGTGAGTGACCCTGCACCTCGCTGGGCGCGGAGGGAGGGAGGCTGGGCGGGCGGGCGCTGGCCATGGAGCAGGGGACCCGCGGCAGGTCTCTGTCCCCGGAGGAGCGGAGCGGCGCGGGGGTGCTCGCTGCCGGCGGCGGTCGGGGGGGGGGGGGGGGGTGAGCCCCGCCGCGGCTCCGGGCGAGGCAGGGCGGGGGGGTGTGGGGGGGGTGTCTCAGCGGGGCACTTCCCCGGGTGTAAATGGCTTTTTGTTGTGCTGTGGCCGGCCGGCAGCCTGCCTCGCCTCGGGGGAGGGGAGGGCACTGGGGAACCAGAGCGCCGGCGCCCCTTCCCTTCTTCTCCCCCGTGTTCCCCCCCGCTCCTCTCCGCAAGTTTGGAGGGTGACTAAAAATCCGGGAAAAGTTGAGCGAAACTGCGTGGCAGGGGCGGCGGGGCCCAGCTTCGGCCGGGATGGCCGCGGGAGCGCTTCCCCCGCTGACCACGCTGACGGCTCCCGGCGGCCGCGGCGGCACAACAAGCGCTAACAAAGTGAGGGCGCTTCCCTGCCGCGCACGGCCCGGCCCGGCTCGGCCCGGCACCGCCCCGCTCCTCGCTCCGCGCCGGCACATGGGTCGCCGGGGCCGGGCCGCAGCGGGGGCACCCCCAGCGGAGGCCGGGCGGTGGGTGGCGGCGGGCGGCAGGAAGGCGGGCGGGGAGGGAGGAGGAGGAGGAGGAGGGAGGCGGGAGCACGAGGTGCCGCTCCGGCCGCCGGTGCGCGCGGCGGGGGGATCGTCCTGCCCCGGCGGCACCGGGAGGGGGCAGGGGGCGGCCGGCGCTCCCCGGCGGCCGGAGAAGAAAGGGGAGCGGGAGAAGGAGGGAGGGGACGGGAAGGGAGAGCGCTACCCGAGGCAGCCGGAGCGGTGCCGGCGGACGTCGCATAATAGGGGCTTCACCCCACTGGGCACCTTCGCTCCGTCGGCGCGGGGCCGGGGCGGGCGGGAGGCGCTGCCGCCCTCACCGCGCACATGGGGTCGGGGCCGGGGCGCTCCCCTCGCCGCGCTCTCCCCCGCCCCGTTCCGGGCCATTTTGAGGGTGAGCGGAAAAAGGTGATTTGAGGCCAGAGTGGTCAGGGCGCAGGGCGGGGGGGGGCGGCCGCGTTCAGTCCGCGGGGTGCGGGGGGAGCGGAGCGGGGCCGGGCCGGCGGCGGGCGCTGCATGCGGGGCGGCGGGGAGCGGGCAGCGCCTGTGCGTGTGCGCGGGTGTGTGTGTGAGAGAGAGCGGTGGCGGGGGGAGGGGGGCAGGGTTGTTAGTGAGTCTCAGGGAGAAGGCGCTGCAGGCAATGAGCAGCCATCATTACGTTGCCTTCATTTATCCCGGTAGCGCTAAATCAGGGGACGCGCTCCCACGCCGGGGGAGCCCCTCCGGGCGCGCCCCGTGCCGGCCTTCGCGGGTGGGTGTCCGGGGGGGGGGGGGATCGGGGTGCCGGGAGAGGGGGCGGCCGTGGGGCACGGGCTGGAAACGGAGCCGGTTTCCCCGGCTCCCCCCGACACCCCGCTCACGCCCGGGTTTAAAGTAGTTGTTTTTTAAACAGACAATGGACAAAAGGAAAGTAGCGATGGATGCCCGGGAGCTCCCTGTCCGCTGCGGGGCCGCGCGGCGCCGCGTAACTCTCCCGCACTTACCCACTTTCTGCCTTTGTTTTCGTTTGGGAAGGGGCTGAGCGTGCCTCCCCACTACAGAAAAGGGCGATTTTTTTCATTTCCAAGAAGCTTTTTTCTTTTCTTTTTTTTTTTCTCTCTTCCCCCCCCCCCCTTTTTTTTTTATTTCCCCAGCCACTCGGGCTTCCTTCCGCGGGTGTTTGACTCCGGGAATATCTGAATAACCTCGGTGCGATAAGTTTGTTTCTGTGTCGATGTTCGTCTCGATTTTTACTCTCATCAAAGCAGATCGCGGGCTGTGTTTATCATGGAAGATAGCTTTCGGGATAATGCGTTAGCCTTTTTTTTTTTTTTCTTTTTTTTCCTCTTTTGCTTTTTTCTTTTCTCGTGGTATACGGGACTAGTGGAGGTACAAACAAGCAAGTTGAACAAAAAATGTTTCTGTTCATTTCCTCACAGATCATCCATTCTAACGACGGCAAAAAAATCTTAATGACTATGACCTTAGCAGCATGGGTAGCTGATTTATCCCAATTATAAATCCCCGTTAGTTTGCGGTAATGTGTGAGTATCAATATATAATTCATATAAAAAAGCATGGTCCGTAATTTTTTGGGTTTTTTTGGTAAAAGTTGAAATCCGTCGTTTTCCAATGAGAGTGCTGCATCTGTCGCTTGGAGTGTTTTTGTCTCGCTGTTGCACAACAGAGGCTCTCTAGTCTTTAACCTAAAATGGCAGCTTTAATTTGACTGGGGCCCATTCATTGACAATGATAATAAAAAGGCTGAAAGCTAAATGTAGCTGGATGCTTGGGGCACATTTGCAGAACACTCTCCTCTCCATTGCTGGGCGCTGCTAAGAGAGGAACTTAGAAGCTCTCTAGTTTCTATCGTGAAAGTTTCCAATACTTTTTTGTTTCCTCATTAAAAAAAGGAAAAAGAAAAAATTGCATTGCTCAGCATAAACCACATTTTAGACGTCCGGGTTGCTGACAAACTTACCGGTAAGGAGATAGTTAGAGAGAGCTCCTTCCAAGAGGGCTGTGTTTATAACAACAGCACAAAAATTCTAGTAATGCCTTTTAAAATAAGATGCAGTCCGGGGGAATATTAACCATTTGTTTCTGAGGTTTGTAACAGGTGATTAGAACAACTACATTCCATATATTTTCCTATCTCCAGCTACTAAAAGCAAGGAGTATCGCTTGTTTCTTCTTGTTTGGTGTTGTAAATGTTCTCAGGGTTTCACGGAGATCCTTTTGATAATGTGCTATTTTCCTCTAGGAAAAAACCACAACAGCTTGGAAAAAGTGATTGTTTTTGCTCAGAGACATAATTTGAAGTTTGAAACAGTTTTACAAAACAAATTTTCCCCACTAAAGCATTGGAAAATGCCATAGATTGACACATCCCCTTGTCTTGCCTTTCTGCTAACCTGAACTGCTTATTTTCAGTCTCTTTTGAACTTTTTTTTAGTAAGAAATTTCTAAAGATCATTATTAAAGCTGTCGCACAGGCTCTTAGAAGAGCATTAAATGCTTGTGATTGCATGTTTAACTGAATTACTGATTCACTGATACTAATTGGATAATTGTATTTGACCAAATATCTTACTAAATATTTAACAATGTAATGATATTTCTGTTATTACTTGTAAATCCTGGCTAGGTTATTTAAACAGTGGAAAAAAACTCATATTTGAAACCCCAAATGATTCTATTCCTCTTCAGTAATGAAGGAAATTTTTGATCATAGGCAAGGATCACGCCGTCCTTTTAGGAAAATAACAGATTCCAAGGAATATCAGTAAAAATGAAGTATAGCAGAATACTCTCTGTTGCAATCAAAACTCTGTACAGTGGTGGGAGATTTGAGTTATGACCAAATTTTTTTTTTATATGGTTAATGTAGAAACCTGAAGCCTTGGGTCAAAAGAACACTGTAAAGGCTTCCCGGTCCGCGTAGAGGGGTCAGTTAACCTGAGTGTAGCTTTTTTTCACACAAGTTATTTGCTGTTTTGAACTGGAAAAGCTTTTGATGAATGTTCACCGTATTTCCCGTTAACGCCTAAATAATATTAGGAGTTTTATAAGACGTAAAATGAGTTATTTGCAAGTCAAGGTGAAGCAGGCCGATGGTGAAGCTGCAAGCAGTGTGCTGAAGAAGGGGCTGGTCTGCTTGGTCTGGGCTTGGCATGAATGGGTGGGTATTGGGGTTGGTGGGCCTGTGCTGCCCTGGCAAGTGTGTGCCCCATGGACAGCAGCTGTGCAGGCAAGACATGGCCTAGGCCCTTTACTGGAGGAGAACCTGCAGCAAAAGGATGCAGCAAAACCTTAAGAAACAAATAAAGCCAGCCCAGGTGCAATTTTCTGTAAAGGCTTCAGTGATAGGGACTTGTCAGGTTTTCCAAGACTGCTGAAGTGTGGCAGTGAGACTCTGTGGTTTGCCATATTCATGGCATCCTATAACAGGTGGCTGTTTGGGGTTTTATTTTGTTTGTAGCATATGGCGTGATAGGTAAAGGTTGTTAAGGTGGGAGGAGGAGGAAAAAGTAACCAGAAAGAAAGAGAGTGGAAATAAACACGTGTTTCCTTGAATCCTGCACCTTACCTCTATCCTTTATTTCCCACTCATTTTTACATTAATTTTCAGAGGGAGGGCCTTTAGAACCTGATGGTCAGTATTTGCTCTTGTGAATCTGGTGTTATTCAGAGAAATCTGTGTGGCTAGCTAGGGTACAGGCAGCCGTGTGACAAGAGGTGTGTGTATCTGATGATCTTCCTTGCCCCAGTTCCCTTAAATCCTGACTTCCAAACCCTTATGTATTTGCTGTGAACAAATCACTAACTGCTCAGATTTATGAGCTGGTTAACTGATGTCCATAAGTAACATGGGTGATACTTTTATGTTACTTTAATGTTCCCTGTATACATGAGAAAATGGCAAATTTTAGTAAATAATTAAACTGTCTTTCTGACAAATGAGTCTTTTGTGTGTAGGTGAGGCTTTAGATTTCACTTTTCCAACAGAAAAGTTATTGTATTAATTTACTGCATCAATTTAGCTTCATCATTAAGACAGACATCAAATCCATCGTTTCTCATACTTTGTGTTTCCATGAATAGCTTGTTTGTACAAATACAAACCACTGGATTTTAATGGAAGAAAGTCTCAAATATTGTCTACGTTGTAGCAGTGATAAAAAGGCAAAGGGAAACTCCAACTACAATTTATTTTTAACAGCTCTTTCAGAGGAGGGAGTGAGGTGCAATATGCAGAAACATCCCATGTTTGTATTAGGGTTCTGACAAGATACTGAAACCTGATGGAAGAGTTTTTTTCCTGATTTTTTTCTGCCTGCAGAATCAAATTGTAACTTGCAGTGTTTCATATCTTACCCAAGATCAGCAGTCATGGAAATACCACGTTGTAGTTCCACATTAAAATTCTTCCTTGGAAAACTCCTTGGTTGGAAGGCATGATGCAAAAAATAAAAAGGAGGCTATGACCTAAAGAACATATTCCAAGAGCCCAAATATGACAACAAAGCTCTTAAGGGTATTCTTAAGTATACAAAAGCTGATTAGCTCTTAGCTTCCAACATTTTCAAAGATGTAAACATGTACCTAGAAGAAGCCAAGCCAGAACTAAAGATTTTCATGCTGCCAGTTGGGTTCTCTGGATGGTGCTCAGGAGCAGTTTCTAAACGTCCCGGTTATTTTGCTGCCGTTATGCTACATGGATTCTCCTTAAAAAGAGGGGGGGGGAAGGAAAGCAGAGATATGAATTAATTGAAGCATTTTCTTTTAAAAGTTGTAATTCAATAAAAGTGCTAATTACCAAATAAGCTACCATATTAGTAGAGCTTGTAGCATGTTATTTTGAAAGCTTATTGGCATATGGGAACTAACCAGAAGCCCTTGCTGGCATGATGTAGGGCTTGCTTTGCTTTGTAGTGACCTATATAGCTATTTTGGGTGTGGTTTTGCTTGGCTTTCTTGGAGCTGAGTCCAACCTTCCTCTGACATAGACAGTTGCTGTGATGAGAGGGCCTTGAGGGGAATGATGGGGAATAAATAACTTTGGGAATCAATTGTCTGGAAAAAGTCATTGCAGCCAAAATGTTTGCCTTCTTCCTAGTGGTTCTGAGGGGAAGATTAAATTCAACATATATGTCCCTGGCTCTAGAGGTTATTCTGTTCAGGTCTCATTTAAATATGGGCTGGTGATTGTGGCGAGCAGTGCAGCAACTTACCTGCCTGTGATTAGCTGGCCTGTGGAGAATTCAATGCTGGCTAGTTTTGGAAGCACTTTATTTTAATGTCTTTGAGCCACTTTTTAAGCTGTTCAGTTGAGCTTTCTGTTTACTGCTAGAACTTCAACAGTTAGCTGGCTTTAAAATTTTTTCTTTGTGATTTTTGAAAGAAATTGACCACCCCACAGTTTATTTTGATTGCTGTCTACAAAATAGGCGTAACTTCTTAAAACATTTTGTGGAAGTGTACATCAGATGTACAAAATATGATTTCTTTTGTGCAGTAAAGCCAGTCCTGCTCTAAAAACTAAACCTTTTATTTCTCTTTCCTGCCTGCTCCCCCCCTCCAGCTTTCCTATAGATTTTTTTTTTCCTCTTTAGATTGTGCCTTTCCTGTTGAGTTTTTAATCTTCTTTCCAATTCATATTGCTCTCTGTTTGGTTAGCAGAGTTGTGTTTTCTTGCCAGCCCTAGATAATTAGGATATGTTACAAAATAAACATGCATTTCAACTCCTAATAATGCTGCTTTCTACCCAAAGCATGGAGGATGCTTTTGTTGATGTGGGAAAAGCTGGCTGGCTGGCTGCACCAAAGCCTGATGAAGTCTCGCGTTAGACTGGATGCTGTCCTGGCAAGGAGATGGTCAGCAGTGGAGAACCAGAGCAGAGGGCTACTGCAGCCTGCCGACAGCTTTCCAAAGTTTCTTCATGACCTTTTGAATAGGAAATGTCTCTTGTTTCAGGTTTTGTTTTTGTGAAAGTGACATTATCCCATCTTTTAACAGTTAAGACACATAGCTGTAATGGTTTCTTTTGCTATGTGCACCGAGCAGTTGTGTGTGGGGAGGGTCAAATCCCATGACAGCTTTGAAATGGGCATAGCCACTGTGGGCTATCCCTTACCAAACAGAAATTTGGGGTATGGGGAGGAGCTCCTGGGGGGATTGTGATGTTTCTGAAGGGAATAGGGACGCTTTGGAGACCAACAGCTATGTGACCACTGGTACAGCAGATCAGAACATGGAGCAAGTCCAAGGAAGATTTTAATAAAGGCACTTTTGTCCTCGACCTTAAAAAAGGAAGCCTGTGGATTTATTTACAGGGTAAACAGGATTTGTTAAATGGGTAGTCTTTAGGTGCGAAAGAATACTGGTTATTCTTTGAGAGAGAATTCAGGGGAAAATTAACTAAAACTGAACTGAGAGCTGAGATTTTAGAAGTTTAGACATCAGTAATAGGACAAAACAAGGAGAAAGTCTTCATAGAAAGCATTGAGGTAGCGCTGTTCTGGGAGGAATGTGAAACAACTC